TTAACTTTACATGAAATTTGTTCTTCTTTGACTTCGCCTTTAAATTGATTTCAATACTTTACCGTTTGGTAACAGAGTTAAATAAAGTTCAACATATATTAATTTCTAAGTCTGTATTAGACTTAAGATTTTACCTTTTTTCAAAGAAATCTTTTAGCATTTAAAATAAATTGTTATCATCCTATATTTCTAAATTATATTTGATAGGCTTGCATTTAGGAACTTTGCCTCTAAACTCAATAATTAGAGTATCCTGATTCTGGCTTCAAAAACAACCTGAATAAGTCTGCAACATTTTCAGGTCTATAGCATTATAATAGAATCTGGGTTATTTCAAAAACTTCGAAGGCACTCACTGATTGAAACTATATGAACCTAAAATATTTCTGGGAATTCCCATTTGATTATTATTGTCTTCAGCATTTCAGATCATTTTATTATACAGCTTTTCAATAATTTTGTCATTTAAAACTAAAGTAGATATGTTAAATTTCCCTGTGATTTCAAGATTTCCTAAAGTATAATTACAGTAATCTGTAGTTAATTCAAAAAACTACTTCTATGATGTTATTTGTCATTCGTCATTTAAATTTTATTTATAATTCATTTTTGTTTACTTGATTAAATTTGCTAGAGGCTTATCTATTTAATCCATCTTACCAGTCCTCCAAATCAAGCTCTTGGCATCAATATTATATTGGATTCTTAGATATGTAATTGCATTCTTCATTTTTAATAAAATGTTATAAATTTACTTCAGAATACTAATTTCAAAGTTTTGACAAGTCATGCTCTCAACTTTATTATTTTTATTACTTTGCTACTTTTTCTTTGGTTTGATATTTGCATATAAATGTGTTCTGCTATATTAAAGTTGCTAAAGATTTTTGTTTAAATTTGGGAAATTTGTACATTATCATCAGAAATAAAGCCAATGTCACTTCTGCTACTAAGAATTTGCATATATTTTCTGCAGTATAACTTGCAATCATTTTTAAATTTTCCATGAATATTTGAAAATAATGAATTACTACCTATAACATATTTTAAAATTTTATTAATTATAATGAATAACTTAGGTTTTCAAATTTTCCAAGTACTTACATTTCGGTGTTCTTTGTTTTCATGCTTAAGTTATGTCAAAGTCTTCAACGCAGATATTTTCATCATTTTTTTTTCTACTGCTAAAGGTTTTTTTTTGTATATTTAGATATCGTTATTTTAGTTAAAAATGGTACTTAGTCATAAAGTTCTAGCCCTCGCTAAGGAGCTAGTCGTAAATGACAGCTTGCAGGGAAGGGAAAGTTAGTTTTCATGAAGGGTATGTCCCCTGGTAGATCAAAAATGGTCCAGTGGACGACCGCACACTCACAAACATATGGGCAGGACCATCTGGATTGATTTTTTTTTAAATCCATGAAGGTACAATGTTGGGTGGGTATGGAATGGAGGCTGGGAATAAATGGGGAAGAGGATGAATATAATCAAATTACAATGCACGAAACTCTTCAATAATTAACAAAATATTCAAATTTGCTTATGAATATGTCTTTAATATGGTTAAACATTCTATCCATTTAAACCTTTTGAAAACAGCCTGGTTCTATGGCTCTTATTTTTAATTTTTTTTTCAAGTAGAAAAGTGACCTGCTCAGATGCTTTTTTTTTGAAGCATGGATTGATTGGAAAGAGATAAAGCTTAATGCTGAGAAGCCAGTGGGAAGGGTCTCAGAATAGTACAGGTGAGAAATCAAGAGTGATTGAATTGAGACAAACTAACAGAGATTTAGGGCAGGTTAGACATGTCAAGGCTTGAAATTACTTGGACTAGAGGGCGAGGCAAGAGGTGGCTTGACAATGACACCCTGATTTCTGACTTAGTTACCATCATTTAAAGGGCAATCAATATCGCGCTGGGGATTTGCTTCAGAGGTAAAGTGCTTCCCTAGAATGTACAAGGATCTGGGTTTGATCCCTGGAAGTGAGCACCTGCACACACGTGTGCGTGTGTGTGCACGCACAGACACAGACACACACAGACACACACAGACACACAGACACACACAGACACACACACACAGAGAGAGAGAGAGAGAGAGAGAGAGAGAGAGAGAGAGAGAGAGAGAGAAGCTGGATTGGGTTTTCAGAATAAGCCATTTTCGAAGGTCTCTTTGTATGTCCATCTTCAAAGGACTTAACTCAAGACCTAAAGTCCAGTATTGGAACTTTGTCAGTGATTTATGTAAACCAAGGTCCTTTCACTTGTGTCTAAGAAAATAGGATGAACACTTATAAACTATAAGCATATCACACTTCTTTTATGTGTTAATTTATGAAGAACAGAGACCGTTTTCATAAGATGGAGGGAAAATTGGGACTAAGCATGAAGGAACTAACTTCCCCAGTAGTCCATAGGGAAGGTTAAGCTTTCCACAAGAGGGCAGCATCATCTCATAATTATGCATGGAATGCCTCAAGTAATAAGGGCTGAAGTGGGGGTGCTGAAAAGGTAGAAAATGTAGGTCCTGGGAGCCATAGATCCTTTTACCCCATAAAAACCAAAGGTCCCTGCTATCTCCAAGAATGTAGTTAGAGCCACTCCTAAGTGATGTTTTGTAATGGCAGTATTGCTATAGTAGAGAAAGAAGAGAGGGTGAGTGGTTAAAACCACAGCATCTTCACATCCCTTTGTGGAACTAAACTCAGAAACTTGTCTGTCAGTATTCACACTCTAAAGTGCCTCTGTCTTTCTACAATCAGAATTTCACCAAGAGCCATGTTTTCTGTTTAAATATTTGCCACCCCCAATTGTTTTCCCAGCAAATCATACTCCCCAGACTAGGGTACAATGCACATTACAGTTCTAATGCATTTCCCTTCTGACAGTGTTCGTCTACTCCAGTTAGGATTCGTTTATACCTCAGAGAAGGGAATGGACTGAAATTCCCCAATACACCATTATGCATCTATGACCAAACCACCTTGACCTTGGAAGCCAAGCTCAATCAAGTTTGGCTAGTACTTGTAAAGAGGAATTTTATGTAAATTAAATTATTTGATCCTCATAATAATAACACTATTCGAGCAATTACCATTTCTATGCGATAGAGCCAAGGAGTAGCATTCATGAAACTAAACAAAAACTTTTACCAAGTGAACCCTCCATGAAGTCTTACTTACAATATAAATCATAACAATTCAAAGTGGTAAAGATGTAGATCAATGGCAGAGTACTTGACTAGCATACCCAAGGCTTTGCAGTCCATCCCTAGCATATGAAAAACAACCCTACATATAAAATGAAATCAGTGACAATATGGCTGTTATATAGTACAAGGCAGTACTTACCATGATGCCTATATCTGGAAAGGCATGGCTTAATACTAGGTACCAGAAGATCATGCAATAAACCAATGGAATTCTATATAATCTGCCCCATGTAATTCCAAACTGTTACGTTTTAGGGAAAGATTGTTTGGATAAATTGTTTGAATGTTACATGAGATTAATAGAAGAATTTATGATAGCTCTCCTTCTGGCTTGGTTGCTGGAGTGTCATCAAGATAGGAAGCTTTGGTGAAGAATAAATGTGTTAGGCATGGAGCAACCTATTGTACTTGAAACGCTATAGGCACATCTAAATATAAATGTCCAAGAGGAAACAGGCTATATGGTTTGGGACAGAAGAGTCAGAATCATCCATATATAGATATAAATTGAAACAGGAAGAGCCAGTGATATTGTTCATATTATAATTTCTGTATTATGATAATATCAGAAAAGGTAGAACTTCTGAAAACGAAATGTTTAAGGCAAACATGGTCAAAGTGATAATCAAGTAATAAAGGAGACTGGTTAAAACATGGGCAAAAAGGAAGAAGACACAGAAGTAAACAGAGCTCAGATGGTGAGGACACTTGCCTAGCTAGCATCAGGAGGCCCTGCTATCCATCCCCAGGACCACAATAAAAAATGTGTGTGTGTGTGTGTGTGTGTGTGTCTGTCTGTCTTCATAAATACATAAACACAACCTTTCAAGTCCATATAGTGTTATTTGCATGTCTATCTTTTTGGGACTGACCGTTTGATATTGGATAACTGATTAGTGTTATTCCTGGGGAAGGCTGTTTCTCCTGCTCTCAATGACAACAATTAAAGAAAAAGAGACCATGAATTTGAAAGCAAACAAGGGGAGAAGGTTTAGAGGGAGGAGAAAGAAGACAAAAGTGATGAAATTACATTATAATCTCAAAAAAACAAAGAAAAAATTTAAAAAGGGTAACATTGACATGACTACACCCAATAATGTCCCTGCCCTTCCTTTTGCCTGTGTAATTCCATTTAGCCAAAATGTATCTATTTCTGATGGTTTATTTTTCTAATTCTATCTACTCTTTAGCTCAAATTTTCCCTCCTCTTTTGAATGTAAGTCTATTGAATCCTTTTTCTCTTTAATTATCAATTTCTGTCTAAGCAATCTATTTAACGAGCACAAGGAACTCTGTGAAACCTTTCATTGCGTCTTTATATTATTAATTTTTATTGACACATACATGCTTTTTTTCATGTGTGAAACCATACAAGGGTAACATTTCTGACTTGGAGCTTGCTATAGCCTCCAAAGAGCCTACCATGGCTGGCAGTCGGATTCTTTTACATCTCTGTTGATATGTGATGATTGAACAATAACTGTTATGACAGAGGAGACAGAAAAAAACCTTAGGTTACATAGACCTTTATATGTTTTTAGTCATTGAGTCCTCAGAATAGCGAGTAAATTGAGTTCTGAAGAAGCATTTATCTGAAGGGGTAGGTATACTGAGTATATGACAGTGTCAAAATACGAACCAACAGCCCTTTGACCATTCTGCTTTAGTTGTCGGCACAATTCTGTCCCCATGAACTACCTCTCTTGTTGATGATAATGATACAGATGGCATTTTATGGAGGCTTTATTATCAATCAAGCACTTTTCAATGGCCTCGGCACCTGTACCTTACCTCCTGACAATCAGCTTGAGGATCCTGAAGGAGCCTTTGATAAGGATGAGGGCCTCTTGGCGGGAGCCATACAATGGAGTGCCATTGATATTCACCAGCTCATCACCAGTCCGCATCTTCTGGGACAAGGCTGCCTTGCCTCCATCTTCAATCTGTGTTGCAGAGAACAAAACAGAAAGCGGGACGTGAGGGGACTTCTGCCCTATAATTTTCTTTACTGACTTCTCCCAACCTTGTAGCCACAAGTAGGAGTAGGAAAGTGTTCCATGCAGCTTCAAGAGTAGCTGAGGAGTTGATCACAGGCCATGGTCACTGAAGGCAGAGCTTGAACGAGCTCTTGAGAAAGGAGGCAACAAGAAATAAGGCAACTCCTCCCTAAAGATAGCACTTCTATAAAAGAAAGCGATGTTTAAAAGAAAGTCTATTGTGTTGCTGAAGAAGCCCCATGGCATTGCAAACTGTGCACACAAATTAGAGCCAGAAGAGCACCATCAAAAGTGGACAAATCTTTCCGTACTTTTGGACGGGCTTTGGAGTCTGACAAAGCTGGGTTTGGATTTTGACTCTACTACTTTCTAGCTGGGAGATCCTGAAAAATATACCTAACACTTTAGAATTAAATTGCCTTTCATGCAAACCGTGGCTAACAAAAGCACCCACCTCACAGGATAGCTAGGTCACTTTTTGGGAGCTCTGAGTCCTTAGCTCAGTATGAGTTCTGATTCTTATAACAAGGAGGCTGATATTGAAAACTTTGATGGTGACTTCCAGTTCAATATTCTGTAGTCAGAATCCCCAATTTTAAACATATGAAGTAAGGACAAAGCTATTGTTTCTTCACCACATTCCTAGCATAGTACTTGCCAATGCACATTCAGAAAAAGCTGGGGATGTGTTACTAATCCACCCCAATCTAAACATTCTCAATATGATCAGAGTAATCTTGGCAAAAATGTTTTCAGGCTGCAATACTCTGAAAACAAAAGTACAAGCAATAGCCACTGGGGTAGATAAAAGTCAAGCAGAATGGCCCCAAAGACCCAAGTTTACAGGAAAGTTTGTACATAATATTCCACTTAACATAAAAGTGAATTCTACCTGTTAGAGTATTAATTCTATCTAGAGTAATGGGGTCGTCTCATCCATCATTAACCTATTCCCCAAGCACTTAATGTCTTTTAGCATGCACAGAACAACAAACCCACTAAGTGGTAGAGATACACAAATAAACAAAGCTCTTAGCTCCTAGCCCCAGAAGGGAAATACTGTCTAAATTTTATATGCCCCCCTGAGACAATCATGTTAAATAAAAATCCAGCCCACCCACATTAAGTGTTTTGGGTAATATATGAAGTAAGAATGATCACATCATCCAATTCTCATGGGAAGGAAGCTTCTAAGTGAGTTATCACTGAGGGCTGACCCTTACTGAGGCTACGCTTAGACTGCTTTTCTTTCTGCTCTCTCGGTCTCTTAGCACACTCCCTGAAGCCCACACCATCAAAGTCAGAATATTGCTTTTGGGATAGGTAGGATCTTTTGAGATCAAAGAAAAAATATCAATTCAGGATTTTTAAACACCATTAAATAAATTGAAATTCTGGGTAAATTACAGATTTATTAAGTATATTGCTGCTAACCCAACATTTATTAACCTCTAAGAAATCACAGCCTAGCCAGTTGTCTCTCTCTCTCTCTCTCTCTCTCTCTCTCTCTCTCTCTCTCACACACACACACACACACACACACACACACACACACACACTTTTTCCAGTGTCTGGGCACCCATTCAAGATAAAACAACCTAATAATGGCAAATGGGGAATAACTCTCAGCAAATTAATTAGGATTATACTTTTGTTTCCATCGTCATTAGCATTACTGCCCCATAGACACTACTGCCTGCCTTAAAATATTACCTACTTAGCCACATGCAATGATGATGCATACAAGTGAAGGGAAGGCAGGAGAATCAGGAGTTCGAAGTCAGTCTGGGCTATGTGAGATGCTGTTTCAAAAACTACAGCACCAGCAACAATAATATTAATGGGAAAATTGAAGTAAAGCACTGTAGTTGCTTTTCAGAAAATCAGTTTGAATGACTCATTCTGGCTTGCATGAGAGGCCCTTAGCTTTCTGACAGTTAACAAGTAACCATAAAGAGGACTAATTAATGAAAGCTCATCATTTTTTTCCCACTGATGCACATTAGTCTTAATTAACCCTACACATTTTGTATTCGTACAGCTCAATTATCCATATTACTGCTACCCATAGAAAGTGGTCTCTTCCACATATATTGGTGTTAAGTAGAATCTCTGGTTAAGTATTCAGTTATATCAAAAAGATGCTTGTTCATTCCAGGTCACAAGATAAACAACAACAACGAAAACCTTTTAAACTAAAATGCTTAATTAATGCTACTCCAGTCAAAGCCTTCACACTGCTACTTTAGCTGCCATTTTCTGCATTTATGTAAAGACTATTTGTTTTTGAACTATAGCTGTAGGTCAATTGCCCCTTTTTGTAGTCCACATCTCTTCTGAGTCACCAACAGATTAGTCCTCAGAACAGATGTGTTGACTGTAGTAAGGTCACTCTAGTAAAAGTATGAAGATGCTCAGATAAGAAACAAGTGATTTTTTGTTACTTAGCACAATCCAGAACCCAAATATATTCAGATAAGGAAATACGGTTCCATTTGATTGACGATCCATTGAAGTAAATGTCAAACTAACCACTCTGTAGAGGCAGGGTGTTTATTGGACTGTATAACTAACTTCTTACCCATCAGGACTTTTGGGGTTGTTTTGTATTAATGTTCCTCCCCTATACTCTATCTCCTTCCTGCTCCATATCTGATTTTTCCATCTATTATTTGGCCTTTTGACAGCTAGACTTCCAAGTCAGTAGCTAAAATGCACATTTGTTTATAAAAAACACTTGCTAATGTTCTTCGTAAGGGAAAGAAAGAATAAAGAAGAGGAAGACTAGAGAGGAAAGTCAGCAACACAGAGGACAAATTCATCACAATGGATGAGAAAATCAGCAACCTATTTGAAAAAGTCAGCAAGGAAATTGATATTTTAGATGAAAAAAAATAGAAATATTAAAAATAAAAAGCTCAAGCAACCAAATAAAAAACACAGTAGAAAGCAGCATGGATAGACTCCATCAAGCTGAAGAAAAAATATCAGGGATAAAGCAATACTACACTCAAGCACCAGTGAGGAGAAAAAGAGATCAAAATGAGCACAATAATCCAGAAATCCAGGACATAATCAAAATACCAAGTCTATGAATCCATGGAATTGATCTGAAACTAACCTGGAAGCCCCTTTCTGAAGGCTACCTCTCCTTTTACCCAAAGATGCTATGCAAGCTGCCAAGGGAGAAAACCAGTCAATATTCCCTACACAGCTGTGAAGTCCAGGAACCACAACATTGACCAAATGTCAAGATGTCCCTAGTGGTGCTGTAGTGCCATTTATATTTTAGGAATAATCAGCGACTATTTAATTGGACTAACGGTTTGATCCACAGGAGAGAATTTATGCCTGGCATTGTAAACTTCTAATTACCCATGGTTAGTGAGGTTATGGACCATGGAGGAGAACTTACTACTACAAATTTCTTAAACCAGTATAATTTATAACTGTATTCTAAAGACTTATGTGCACGCGTGCGTGCGTGCGTGCGTGTGTGTGTGTGTGCTTGTAACTCTCACCCAACATTAATGAAGCTTTTCTTTTAGCAGCAGATGGAGGGAAACTAGTACAGTAACTTACAATTGGTCAAAATTTAGAGAATAGCTGGCTGTGAGTGCCCATCCCAAAATGATACATCTAAAATGCACAACCCCTATACCTAAGGCAGATGAAGGAAATTTTAAAATTGTAAGAGCCAGGGGATGAGATAATGTCTTCTACACATGACAGGGAAGCTGCACCCATGAAGCCTTAGCAATAAAGTCACATACACCAGACTTGCATTATGACATCACCAGCGGGCATGCCAGCTTAGATGGCTGGAAGCTCACAAGCTCTCACCCCTAGATGAAGAGCTATAGAAAATGAATGATTGCTGAGAAAAGGAGAATCAGTGTTCTCCAGGGATGAGCTTCCTAATGTGTTAGCCAATCCTTAGTGATCAACCAGAAACACATGCACATATGAGCAGTGCTAAATAGACTCAGCAGTACCTGAAGGTAGATAGATAGATAGATAGATAGATAGATAGATAGATAGAGACAGATAAAGAGATGGATGGATAGATGGTAAATAGGATAGGATGGATTTAGATTATATATATTTAGCAATAATAATTTAAAAGGATGTCAATAATTAGAGAGGGAGTAGGGGAACATGGGAGGGGTAAGAAGGGGAGAAAAATGGAAAGGATGCAAATACAGTATTCATGTTTGGAATTCTCAAAATTAAATAAAAATAAAATAAAATCTCCTAAAACGTAGAAAGCAAATAAACAGTATTAAAAGCTACATGAGGGGAAAGGATAACTCTCCAACAAAAGCAGAAGTAGCAGAATAACATCAGCTCTCTTGTCAGACATGCCCAAACGGAAAAAGCAGGAGATGACATATTCCAAGTACTGAAAGCAACTAACAACTAAGAATGTTATATTCAGCAAATTTCTCATTCGAAATTGATGGAAAAATAAGGACACCAAGACAATCACAAGCCAAGGCTGTTTATGACAACCAGGGTAGTGCTTCAAAAGATACCAAAAGAAATATTAAACACAGAGAAAGAATTAGTTTCATGAGAGAGATAAACAAACAAACAAACAAAAACGGTGAGCTAGGTAAGACTCTATCACATCCAACACAGTAAATCAGCAAAACCCTAACACTAATGCATGAGAAAGTAGAGAGAAAACAATAATCCAGGCAACCAGAAATGTAATCATCAAAATAATAGGAATTAGTACATATCTCAGTAATAGCCTTAATTATAAATGCTCTTCAATCAGCAACAAGGAGACACAGACAGGCTCACTGGACTTAGAAACAAAACTAGACAGAGCTGGTTCTGAAGAAAAACATCAGGAGTAAAGACACCCATAGAGTGAGAATCAAAGGATGGAAGTCAATCTGTCACATAATTAGAAGCTGACACAAGCTGGGGCATCTATT